GGATTGGATCCCTATATTAAAAGAACTTTGACATTTTAATAAAGAGTTTCTAGATTAGCACTAGGTTGACCAATCACTGGATCTCTTTACATCTCAAGCAGACCACACTACAAAGTGAGGGGTCGGGACAGGAGGAAAAAAGGAAAAAGACCAGAAGAGCTTAGTACGTTAGAAAGAAAAGGGTGACATTAAATTGTGAGGGTTGGAGTTTTGAAGTACACATTTTTTGATATTGCAATTAAAGTAAAATTAAAAAGAAAAGACTCCACCTTAGCTCTGAAGGGATTGGTTATGCAAATATGGAAGGGATTTCCTGGAGAATACAGCTTTCTACTGTATGGTTAATTAAATAATCACTCAAAAGCTTCCAATGTGACGCTTCTGTCGTAATCCAATCAGGTTACATAGGTCCTAAACAAGAAAGATATTTTCCACATCTGGAAGTCAGCAATTTAGCAAGTACTGCACATTATTAACCAATTCAGAGCCCACTTCCCAGGGGAATTTTTTTGAAGTTTAAGTGTTCTTAACCAATGCTCTGCTGTTTTGTTAATCAAAAAGCTGGTTTACACTGCACATAATTGGAACTAATATAGAAGTAAATAAAGACAGCCAAATACAAGGATGCTCTGTACAAGCATGTATCAGAAAAGGAAGAAACTGCTCTGCCTCAACAGTTCAGTCTCAATTTCTTAAAGTACTAAGAGACCCCTCCCCAATTCTTTTAAATAGTGAAAGTATTTAAGAACCTCATAGCACAGATAAAACAGTCCCACAGCCTGCAGGCTCCTTGGGTAAAGGTAAATGTGGAGGTGTGAAGAGGACCAAACAGCTGCTGCCTCTTATCAGTCTTTCTGCTTTAATACTGTCAAATATGTCACAGTCCCCTGTTTTCAGTCTGAAGAAATCTGAAACAAATAATACCCTGATCCAACACTAGACTTTTACTCATATTAAGATAAACTGCTTTGAACTGGGCTTTGAATGTGTGCCTACAGCAAGACTTTGAATGCACGAGTCACTGGCAATTGCACTCCAAGGAGGGGAAAGCCACCATAGGGGCTGCCACATCCACACTCCCAGAGCTACAGGGCTTTGCATTTTGCATGTTTATTTTTCAGTGGTGGTGGGGGGAGGGTAATAGCCACCCAGCATGACCACAGCTAGATTTCATTCTAGGGTGCAAGAAAGCGGATTTTCACAGTTGGTTACACACTCACCTCTTTCTTAATTTGAGCATTTACAATGAGAATGATTGGATAAATCAATTTTCCCCCTTACCCCCATGGCAGATAAAGTACCTATAGAGGGTCTATAGGTTGTGGAGATTTTCAGTAAAAAAAATATTAATAAAAAATATTTCCAACCTGGATCAAACACATTAATCTCATATTTACATTTCTCATACTATCTTGTATCTGTACTAATTATACGTAAGACTTATCAAGTTTCCTTCTCTAAGATTTATCATTACCGTTCATATCTTCTTTCCTTTAAAAAAATAAAAAAAAAACAAACAACCAAAAAAACAAACAACCAGAGACCAGCTTTCTCCCAAAGTGTGCTTTAACCCTCCCTCTCCCACTGCGGAGGAATAAGGAGCCTGTTGTAGGGGGTGATTACTAGCAAGATCCTTCTGCAGACACTCAGGTAACCAGCCACTGGACGTTTTTAGTTCACACATTGATGCAAAGGCACAATGCGGGCTATAGGGCAAGTCTAACAAATAGCTAACAAATCACTGTCTTTATAATGGATATAAAATATCTTCTTACTTCAGATCTGACCAAATAGACTGGTGACTATTTCTATTAAAAACACCCAATTATCTGATTGCCTTGGGCTCAGCCATCGTTCCAGTGCCAGGAGGCAGCCCCCAATAGTTTGCACTGAGTTTCGACATGTTTTTCCATGTATTTGGTATGGAAAAAGATAAAAAAAAAAAAAAAAAAGAACAAAACCAAGCCAAACCAACTTCAATTTCCTAGGTTCCCATGAAGGTGGACGTTTGGTGGTGGCAAGGGAAAGATCGCGAGGGCTGAGCGCAGGGCTAGGCTGCCCACTGCCCTTGCCTGGCACGCCTCTCCCCAAGCTTTTGACCGAGAGTGTTCCCACCATCACAGAGGCAGTAGGACCAGAGGAAGCTGGAATATAAATTTGTTCGCAACACTCCCTTGGTCCCAGGGCCAGGTCAGGGACAATAGGGAACCATGGGATACACATAATACAGGAGCGCAGGATGAAAAGTCCAGAGGGACCAGGGACCTCTCAGAGGCTCCTCTCGCCGCAAAATAAGTCCTGCGAAGGAAGGGCTGGCTCCTTTTCGGACTGTTTTCCCGGTTAATAATCCACCTCGAGATTAGCGCAGGCGAAGGGGATTAAAACAACAGATACATGCAAATGTGAAATAGTATTGACATCGACATTGGAAGGGAAAATGAATTCTTGAGGATTTCCTTGGGTAAAACCAACTGCTCCCTTCAGGACCCCCCAACCCACCCAAGGCAGGGTGAGGAGGACACCCTTTTGTTTTCCAGTTCCCGGCAGCGGACCCGGAGCCTGTCCCCCCATTCACCTCTCAGTCTGTCAATTTCCTCAACTTTCACAGCCGCTCCCCCGCCCCCTCTCCTCTTGCTGGCCCACAGGCCCAAGAAGGTACGTTTCTACCCTTGAACGCACAGGCTGAAGAAAGAATTCGAATTTGGACACAGCTAATGATTTTTTTTTTAAAGCAAATTGTGTTTATTTTGTACCATGTGGGGAAAATTAAAAAAAAAAGGAATCTATTCTGGTTTAGAAATGGAATTGATTTTTCATCTACAGGAATTATTTCAATCCTGTATTGCTATGCAGGAAGTGGGTAACTTCTTTTGGAGTTGCGAGCTAAGGCTGATACCCGGGACCCCTGGATTAGGTGTGTGGGGGAGACGGAGGGGTCTAAGCAAAGCCAAACGGCTTTCTCACGTGCAAACTCGCAATCCAATCCATTCGGAGTTGAGCCTAGGATTGGGGGGGGAAGCCTTTAAAAAAAAAAAAAAAATCGGAGCGTCTCAGAAAAGCCCTTTCAAACAAAACGAAAACAAGACCGAAGAGCCCAAGACCGTCCCTCACCTCCCTGCTGCGAGGCCCGCAGGCTGTGGAATCTCGCACGTCACCTAGCCCCAGCGGGGCGGCCAGCTGAGGATTTTATTTTCCTATTTTATTTGAAGTAAAGCCTGCATCTCGGCTTCGGGGTGTTTGCCAACGTCTCTACTGACAGGAACCAGCAAACTTCAGGACTCAAATGAGCATCTTAATTTATTGATGCAAAGCAGGTCTGTCTGCTCACAGTTCCCCCTCCCCGGCTCGCCCGCCCCCC